GGGGCTGGGCCGGCCCCCGGGCCTCCCGACACAGCGTTTGGCGGAGCACCACGTCTCCTTTCCTCACGGCCCCCATGTCCCCCAGGGGGTGGGTAACCCCGTTCCTCAGCGGCGCCCGCCAGCGCCCCTGTTTGCTCCCTGGTCGGCCTGCGGTGAAAAGGCCGCCCGTGTTCCCCGCCCAGCGCCATTGGGGAGCTTATTAAATCTCATGGCACCTTAAAGCACACCCACCTCCGTGGTCTCCTCAGGTCCTGTCGGCTTCCTTCTCGCTAGCCAGCTTCCCGCCGCGGCGCTGGACGGTGAGCTCCCCCCCCGCCCCGGCGGTGCTACGATTTGACACAAGTAGAGTCGAGTGTCTTGTTCATCGTTTTCCCCAGGGATTTTTGTGCTGGGTGCTTCAGGGATGAAGGAGGTTACCTCAGTGTCTGTAGCGCTAGCGGTAGGCACACAGAAATTGGGGGGTTGGTACGCATACATTCATATTCCCTCGTGGTTCAGCTCATTGTTATTTAAATATGAAAAATTAATCAATTGCCTAAATCCCAGGAGGCTAAGAGTTTTTTGAGCGCGGCATAAAGGATTCATTTTAGTGTCTTTCTAATTGAAATTAAAGCACAGGAGTTGTAGAAGTGCGTAACAAATTCACCTCTCAGGTTATTGAATGAAAACGTTTTCTTTACAACATCCTTCCTTTAAAGGGGGTTTTTTACAACCTGATTTCTCTAGGAGAGCACAGCAATTATTGCTTTATATTTCCTCAATATGGTGTTGTGGAGTGTTACACCTTATTTTTATTCCCAACTTTTACCCCAAATGCCGAGTGTCTGCAGCTCTTGGGTGCTACGAAATAGGGCGTCTATCTGTGTGGAAGTGGTTTAGAGCAAGAGTTTCTATGTGAATGAATCATATGTTAATACATTGGGATTTTTTTTCCACAGATAATTATTTAAAATGTGTGTGTAAATGCACACACATGCATTGTGTTGGTACTATCACTGTATACTCAAAACAAATGTGATTTAAGACAAAACTTTTGTATATGGCCAGCTGACATTTTAGAATAGCAAAGTCAAAGTTGAGACAGTTTGTCTAGCACATAAATTGTTCAATCCAGAATTTCAGTTGACCTCTCAGTATGTTAGTTCAGTACATAACTGTGGGAGAATTAACGGGTAACTATCTGTTAGTCTGGACAGAAAAAAATTGTAAATAAGAGAGTGCGATAAATGATTAAATTGAAAACAGAATAGGAAATGAATTAAAGCAAAAGGTTTGAAAAACAGCTGTAAAGGAATGGTATTAGTTTAGACATATAATTAATATGTCACTATCACTGATAACCTTCATCCTCCATTAATTATACCCAGCTGTTTAGAATAGGCCCCAATATTGGTAAGATTTCGGTATGTGCTTAATTGTAGTGCAAAATCCCATCAAGTTTACTGGAACTATTTGTTTCGTGGCAGGAGAGTAAGCTTTGGATTGCAGGTTCCCTGGGGTAGAGAGCAAGTGTTCCTGTACCTTACAGGGCCCCTCATAGATTTAGATCTGATTTTACTTAAGGATGTGGACTCTGCTGTGAGAAAGCATTCTGAAAATAAAGAAGTGCAAAGTGGCACAAATGTGACAAAATTCCCCAAACGAGTTGGTGAGGTGTAGCTTACTGTCTCACCCTTAACTCTGCTTTCTGCTGACAGCTGCTTTTGAAAATGTATAATACATGAGATAGTGAATTACAGAAAAAAAATCTAGTTAAGCAAGGAAAGCTAGCAGTGTTCTCGCCTTCAAATGTGAGGAGAAAAGTAACCAACTCCTTTTAAAGGTGGGTCGGAGGAAGTAAATCAGAGAGCATGCAATGGTTTGCACAGCTGGTTGTCTTCAAGCAGTAGCTACCACAGAGAGCTGACCTGGTCCCATGAGTTGGCACGAATGGTTTTTAAGCATCAGACCTGATAAATGCTCCACAGCTCCATAACGCAAAGTGTGCAGCTCTACAGCCTCACTCTACCAGTTCACATGGGCTGAACGTTTTTTTGAAAGGGTAACTTTGTTCTGGTAAACTTTGTGTGGGATTAGGTACTGGCTTTCTCAGGCAATGCCAAACTGCGCGCTGGTGGAAGCTAAGGGAGTATTGTTACGTACTTTCTTTGTTCCTCTGCTTTCCTCCAGGCATCTATTTTTGGACACTGTCAAGCGTTAAAACGCTGAGCTGCATGGCCATCTAGTCTGAGCTACTGTAATCACTTCTATGTTCTTATCTGAAGTGTGACTTGAAAAGGGAGCCTATTTTGTGATATGTATCTGGAATATAAGGTTTTGCATAGTCAATTTGGCTCCAGTCCTATCGCCTGCAAATTTGTCCCTATCAGCTGTTAACTGGATGGGCATGCAGACGCTGTGGAGATTCAGATGAAGTGCCAGCTAGCTGTAAGAACGTGCTTTTCTCCTGTCTAGTTACTAGTACCTTAACTTTCTGTTTGAATATGGTAAAGCTTTATTTATTTTTTTACTTAAATTCTGTTTAGTTTGAGCTGTGATTTTCAGAGTAATACAGCAAACATAAACTTGCTCATTCCTCAGGGATTCCTGGAGCTAGAAAGGGTCCGCTTGATTTCTCTGAAGTGCTTTATATCCCACGTGATGTTGAGTTACATGGTTAACTGTCTGCAGATGTTTTCTCCTCCCAGTTGCAAGTCCCTTTTTCAAAGCTGGTGATGTTGAACATTGAATTATTGAGAAGAGCTGGAGTGTGCTACAAGATAGACTGGGGGGAGACACCCTAGATTCACCTATGCTCTTGTGACAGTATTCGAATAAAAAACAGACGCGGGCAAGGATTCATCTCCTTGAATCCACTTTATAATTGTTTGAAGAGAGATGTGACTTTGCCTCACACCAAAACCAGTGCTCCAGGAATTTCCTAGCCCACTCTTTGTCTCGCTACATGTTGAAAAAGACGTACACTGGGGTGAATGAGTCCTTCACTGCTGAGGGCAGAGTGCTGTGTTCCCTGTCAGACTCAGAATAACTGTGTATACTCAGAAGGACGTTAGAGGGAGAGAGCCTGGCATTTTCCTGGTTCAGGGTAAGCAGCAGCGCACCTCAGCTGGGCACCCAAGTTGAGGAGTGGTATGTGGTAGGCAGAGATTTCAGACTGGTGTTGGCATTGAGCTCT